ACTTTTCTATAGATAAGTGAAATATGTAACGGCGAATTGTTCCTTATTACTTATGTGACTTATAACAACAGATATACAAAGCAACCTTTGTAAATTCACTCAGAGGACACGTAAATATATCCACACCGGGTTCAAATACTACAAACCCACCTCAGGGTTTATGAATCAAGTTCATGATCTATGCTGTTGAGTCTCAATGGAATTATAATGACCAGTGATTTCAAAAAAAAAATAGCAGACTTGGACCCCTGTACGGTAACAGTTCAACCACGGAGTCAGTTAATTAGAAACGTAATTGTGACTTGATTTGTTGATCAAAAATTAATCCGCTTAATAGAGACGTGATCTAAAACGGGACATATGAAATATACAAGTAGACTGTGATAGTTAACAAAGTATAAGGCAAGTAAATATCGTTATGTGGCACATCAGAGAAAGGAACGTTATCATAATTGTTACGCGGTATCAAAGTAGGTCGGCACGGAGCCGCCCCGATCCTCTTATAACCACCACTCCGTTTGTTTACATTCCACATGGTAAAATGATTGTTACCATAACTTGTGAACTAGTTACATTACATAGCAAATAAACATTGCTATTTCTAATTGAAAAACTAAAAGCGGTAGCAGCCTAGTGGGAAAACAGTTGCTGCTCCATTGAGAAGCTAACGGTCCGAATCAATATGGCGACATGTATGTGATTTTAATTCTGAGATAAATACTTTCGCTAACCATGGTGGTAAATATTGTGATAAAACCGGTACTTCCAAGAAGGTCGAAGGAACCTTTGGAAAATATAAACAGTTCGGGTTCATCCTACGTTGGGAAAGACCACAGACCTCATAAATACTACTAAGGAAAGCTCTTCAAAAATTCTTTTACATATAAAATTTTATTTAATAGATTTATTCGTATCGGTTAGAGTTCGGCTGTACAGTTCAACAGACAAGATTGAAAGAGTGCAAAATATTAAGGCTCTTGGCATAAACTGAAATTGCTCAAGAGCCATTACATAGTTACTACCAGTTTATATAAAGTAATAAATAATGAATTTGATTCGACACCTCTACTGAACGTTATAGATTTCAGAGACCCCGCCAAATTGAAAGATCTGGTCGTATGAATACAGGTTTCTCAATTAAGAAGTCGCAAAAACGTTTAATTGGCAATTGCTTTATTAGGCAATCATGTCAGACGTACAACAGCAGGTTCATGGTTGTAGATATTTTCTGTAATTCGCTAACAAATTAATTTGTTTTAATTTGCAAAAGGCTTTTGACCGGATTGACAACGATATTTTACTGCAGAAGCTAAGTAGAATGGGATTCGTCCCCCGGCTATTAAAACTGTTTGCCGATTATCTTAAAGACCAGAAACAGTTCGTAAGATATGGACCATACCAGTCAAAACCATACCATACACGTTCTGGCATAAGTCAGGGATCAAATTTGGGACCATTCCTTTTTCTTATTTTTATAAATGACCTTCCAACAGCTGTTAACAAGGCCACGGTTTTATTATTCGCCGACGATGTGAAACTTGTCATGCCCATTAAGTCGACCCAGGACTGTTATGCTTTGCAACAGGACATCGTCGCAGTGAGCAAATGGAGTGTGGACAACAAGCTGCTATTCAACAATGGTAAATGCGAAATTATGACCTTTTCGCGCTCCCATTATTACATTATTTAATATTTTTAATTAAAGCTTTAGTGCCCGTTACACGGGGCGAGTTTTCGCACGGCGATGAGTTACCACGCCTTCATGTACATTAATGGAATCTGAATTCTATTTACTAGGCAACGACATTTAAATTCCTCTGAATAATACAACCGCCGCGCGAGCCGCCGCCTGGACCAAATGCAAGCCAGTCTCGCCCGCGTGCCCAGGATCATTTAAGAAGCTAATCTCGAAATTCGTATCGAATAAATGCGCCCTTACTATGATTTGTTCTACACAATAGTATGTATATTGATAGTCTTTAAGATTTCAACTGCATTATAAATTAAGGAAACTCTAGGTCAATTTTATATATCTTCGTTAATGAAATAATTGTTTTATACCGACTGTTTGTATTTTGAATAAATAAATAAAAATAATAAAATGTGTGATATCTTCAACCCGCACTAGAGAAGCGTGCATGACTATGCACTTAGAGGATACGTTATCTTTACCGAGATAATTTTGATGACTGAATTGAAAACAATATAAATAACATAGGAAGACAGGGATTGTGCGGGCAAATAAATTTTTGAGAAACAAATTTTTGTCACAAAGGTATCCATAATTGATGAGAACGCTTTAGAAGACGATAAAGTGATTAAATATCTAAGTGTGTTGAATGACAATGGAATAAAATCAAAACACAAGTAAATGAAGTTACTAAAGTTTCTATCAAGTGCTCCGGGAAAGACAGAATCGCAATAAATACTTATCAACTTCACCTAAATCCTTGACCCAAAACCAAAATAGATAAAATCGAGTGCCCAGTTACGTTAACATTTTACACTATCTGATTGTGTCTTGTAGCCCTGCGGCAATGAAGCATTAACATATGCGCAAACGGAATAGCTAAAGAAATTATATCGCTACTAAATATCGATACTAAAAGATTACTAATTAAAATTATGTACAAATTGAGATGTAGCATCAAAACAAATGTCGTTAACAACAGTTAATCGATCTTTTGATGCTACATCTCAATACAAGAATATAATACAAGAATAGCTAGAAAACACACTACAAAATACGTATGCATATTAATAAAGTAGTTCATTACAACGCGGCGTGTCATAACGTTCAATATATCAGTCTAAGGGTCGTATTCTAGAACTCTACTCAATTCTCAAGTCAGGATTACACTGGAAATACAAGCACTGGAAATACGACCCTAATGGCAGGGACTTGAGTATGATTTCGAATGCTTTAAACCATACTCAAATCCTGACTTGAGCACTGAGTAGAGTTCTAGAATACGATCCTAAGTGTCATATTCTAGAACTCTACTCAATGCTCAAGTCAGGATTGCAATTGAAACACAAGCAATGGAAATACGACCCTAATGGCAGGGACTTGAGTATGATTTCGAGTGCTTTAAACCATACTCAAATCCTAACTTGAGCATTGAGTAGAGTTCTAGAATACGAGCCTTAAACATATTACGTAAGAAGGTAACTTTGTAGCATAACCGTTTTCAACAATGTCAGGAATTTAACTGCCTCCGTGGCCGAACGGTTACCATGCCGGACTGCCACGCAGAGGTCCCAGGTTCGATTCCCGGGCCGGGAGAAATATTTGTATGGCCTACATTTATTTCTCTCGTGAGTTTGGGTGTAATTTGTGGTTGTCTAATTGTGTGTCCATGGCACCCGCGACACAGGGTTTCCCTTGTGCGGGGCTATGTTGATTGTGAGCGTTATTATTATTATTATTATTATTATTATTATTATAGGAATAACTCGTAAATAATTTTTCTATAAAACTTCAAAATATATCCATCCACTGACTAATAAGAATCGCGTGTTCAAAAATGTGAGAGTTAAATATAAATTTCAAATATAATTTTGGACTGCAATCTAGTTCTAAATGGTGCAATATTGTATTATTATAATAAGGATAAATAAATATTTATAAAAAACGAAAACAAGTTAAAATACTTTCTAAAAAACTACGCAATGCGCAAAGACTACGTTCTTCTTTGTGTCCCGACCTGCAAAATCTTATACTAATCCTGTAATTTAGCGGTATTTACCACGTAATATTTTTAGTACGAATGGTTGTTATTGCTCCGCGCGCAAAAAATTTACGTCATCAGAGCAATATGTAAGTGATAAAGATTTTTAGTTTGAATAACGAGTGTCTTCCTCATAACTCGCAGCGAGGCGAGGCAAGTAGGAAACAGCGCGGCCGAGCGCCTTGACCTACTTCCACTACCTCTGTGCTGCGCTCGCGCAACCGCGGCTCGAGATGCAATCACTGCATGCTCGCACACGAAAGGTTATAAAACAAATATTCGGAATAAGAGAAAAATAAATAATAAGAACTGTAGACTAAAATAAGCCTACACAAGTTTGTTTCGATACAACGAATGGTACCAACTCGTGATAAACGTCTCTAAAAAGACGACGGTGACGACAAAACAGCATCAATCAGAAGTAAACACTGACAAATGGGTATACTTAAATGATCCAGGAGGTACAGACACTTCATTTTCTCGTGTAAGCGCTTCACGTGTCTGGAAAGTACGATCGATCGAATGCAAAACGAATTCGTCAACAATGGACATGAAGAAGAGATTGTTTGGATTAATATAAAGAAACAAATAAGAGCACGAGGTGACAACTGCGTTCTAAAACCGTATTTCCACGAGGCCACGGCGCGCGTCAGTCAATTCGTAAAGATGGCGGCGGCAGTTCGCAATCTATCTATCTCATTAGCTGGCAGACTTGCTTCTTCACGAGAATAATACATTGCAAAATTGCAAGTAATACATTGCTTAGAGAATAACTTTGGAAAGCGAGTATAGAAAGCTCGAGCGTGGGAATCCATAGAATGATTAAAAGCAGGTGCCTGGTAGCACACTTGCATCGTCCAGAGTAACCTCTTCAAAATTCGACGTACCCTACTTGCCGTGGTCGTGTTTGACAAGTTAGATTTCTAAAATTTTAATGTGTTCTGGTTTATTTCAGTTGCTCATTTCTTAAAAGCATAAATTTTGTTATATGCTAATTTGTCATGCGCGTCTTTGTTGGTGTGTGTTAATTATTTTCATCTTAATATACATAATTTAATTTGGCGTGGACTCAATCTAAACAAATATTTCGGTCTCTGACTGACCCAATTCAGAGATGCTTTAAAGATTTTTTTGAGCGAATTCGTCCTATAATTTTACCGAACATTATTAAGCTTTCTTTGTTGTCTGACGATCGTATCAAATTGCTAATAGAGCTGTATTTAAAATAACTTCGGAACCTAATAAGGAAGAAAATGAAGTGGTACTTACAATGGCCATTTAGTTGGTGGCTGTCCAAGAATACAATCCAATAAATGCACAAATCACTTGTTTACAGAACACTACAATGTAAGAGACCGAAAAGTACACCTCACTTATTTAATCACTTCAATCCAAGTTATCGGTGTACAAACAGCAAATCTTCACAAATCCACTAAGTTTCTCCAGTAAAAGTATCACGATTACATAAAACCACACGTCGTATCTGGGTTCACACCCAGTCCCAAGTATAGGTTGATACCTGTAACAACAAAAGCAGCAGTAAGTTTCAACATTTCTTAAAATTTTATCAGCAAAAGTGTAAACGTGTTCTTGGGAACTGGATGATAAGCCACGCACGTACCTGCTCGGCCAGTGTGAGTTTTAAACTGAACAAAATGAAATATGACGTAAAGAACTCTGTACTGATAAAAGTAAGAGACGTACAGTCAATCCGGCGGCGGAATGATGACTAGCTGGCGCAGTGGGGGGCAAGGGGGGAGGGAGCGACAGACGGTGGACAGGCGAGGGAGGGAGGGCGTCTGGCCGACTGGTTGGTCGACCTATTGGCTTGCTACGCACACAACTACAATATCAATTATTACTGTAAGCTCTTTATGTGTGAATCTGAGGCTTGTCTATCTGGAACAAGAAGTTTTTATGAAGAATCAACTTCTTTTGTTCGGCTAAACTTAGGTGGCGTGACATATCGGGAGGTAAAGTAATAGAGTGCTAAAAGTTGCAATTGGGTAATTCGATAAGAGGCAACCTTCAGAAGATCTCCTCATGGCCGCGCGCCCGAGCGTAAAGGCCATTTCGCAGTTGTCGCCGTAAGTAACAATACCCGATGAATTCCGTATAGAACAGCTATGTATATAATAACTAGAAATGTTTACTGTTTATAACGATTTCAGTATTGACACATTGATAAAGAACGGCTATAAGATGACGAGTGATGCGGTTAGCCAGAGACGTGTCGAGGAACTACAAACGAGATAAATGACAATGAAGATAAAGCGATAACATTGATATTCTCTGGAGACGTAGAGTAATTTCACTTATTGAGATTACTGCCATTGAACCATGGTACGTTAAAAGCAAATTCTCGTTGTGTGTAATTTATGACGTTTCAGACTTTACATCCGAATTATACACCAGTTATAAATAGTTTATTGACCATAAATTGTTTTTTAATATGACATTTAAATTAATGTTATGAATCTTAATGACAATTAGATATTCACTCTAGACTTATACATTATGTATAATCAGTTTGTTCAAAAACAAAAGAAGATCAAGAATCGGACTGTAAATTATACATGATTGTAACATGGAACGAATTGATTACTTTGAGGACGAGAGTGAATAGCGATTGCATGAAAATATTGAGATCGAGGATGATGCACACAGCGGACACGTAGCGAGAACAGCCGGCGACGACGTCGTCGGTGGCAAACCGGTCGTGCTAATTTTACACAAAACTAATTACACAGCCATTCCAACATGATAAGCGAAGCCGTGAGCCCGCTGGGAAAATAATTACTCGTTGACTGATTATAATTAGTTGTTAGAAATTGACTTTAATGATGTCTCCGATGTGGAAGTGCCTTCACCAATGTAAATTGTAAACATCGTATCAATAACAATTACTATGTCAAACAATTGCAACGGCGTCTCATTTAGATCTTGTATATTCGGTGAGTGGAAACAATGACAAATACAAACGATGTCACAAAAAGTGTGATTCTTAGATCATCGTACGCAGTGAAGGATAAATAGGCACGGATCAACTAACCATTTGAAATTGTAATGGTAAACATTAGATCAATTTATAAACATGAGCGTAGCGTGGCTCGGGACCGCTAACATCGGGATAAGTAAAAATAAATGCGCGATAATCTTCGCGGGGGTAACGCACTTGTTCAGTTTTCGTATGCCTTCTCTTTCCAGCGTGCAGTTTTTTAGCTCGCCAACTCGCTGCTAGTTTTCTTTATTTTTAAAGCCGTCGACATGACGGACCTTTCACTGCACGGCCGTGAGGATATTGCTATCATGTTTGCTGTGTTGCAAAATTTAATTGACATACCACTGGTGAATCAATCATTTATTGTCAAGGCCTACGCGACTATAGTCATGCCGTAATTGATATAATGACGTAATCAAGAAATGGCAACTCTGTTATGGAATATGCTCGTGATATGAAAGTAGCATACCCATAAAACTAGTCAAAAGGTCGCCGTCAATTATGGCACGGAAGGTACCATAAATATAATGACACCAATTTACATTATGGATACAGCTGGGTCTCTTACATTTCTTCGTTGATTTTAAATCCCGTTCCGATGATTTTAAACGTTATTGCATCATTTATAAATTGTAATATGATAGTTTTTTAAAGTAATTATTTAATACGCACCTGTTAAAGTTTCCTAAAAAAAGTTTGATTTGCAAAACGAAATCGTCACGAGTTGCAAAATTGTCAGCAACAATGTTGTTAACAAGGTAAACGCACACACAGCCACGCAAGCAACTTTGTAATCCACTCAGGTAAGCATCGATCACGTAGCAAGGGCAAATTTTTCACTAGCACTGCACAATCTGTTGGATTTTTAAAGATTTTTCGTACTTCCGTGTTATTTTCGCAGTATCACAACGGCAATGTATTACGAATCCAGTTAGACGTTCGACCGCTTCGACGGTTGGCACGAGACTGGTATGGTAGATCGGAGCGTAGAGAAAGTGGCCATACCGAACCATTACTTTCCAAGTGACCGTAGAATTTTGGTCGGCATTTGGACCGCCCCTTGGAAACGACGGGGGGTCGAGATGGAAATCATTTCGATCCATGGATGGACTTTGATAAAATGACAAATAGATTTTATGTCCAGTCAGTAAAACTAAACAACGCCGCAACGAGGCATGGTATGCGATAAGAATTTTTATAAAACGGTAATCATGTTATCACAAATGCAATAAGTGGTAGGTATTTGTATATTTTTATTGAAGTTAATTACTGTGTAATGCGCCTCTATTTACATACACTGATGTGTTGCAATAAGCAAATAAACAACTAAGTAATGAGATTTAAAGTTGTGATATTTTTTATTGTTCCATACTTACAATAGTACTAATTCTCTGTATCATTCATTGCACTCCTAAGTTTCTAAGCGTCAACTTTTGCCATCATATGTCAAGGTTATTCCTACATTTAGGTTTGGAATGGGTTTGGAATGTCTTCAAAAGAACTGTAATATTTTATTGTTTCATACTTACAATAGTACTATTTCTCTATACCGTCTCTATAATGTTTAAGTCTAATTTCAAGCCTCTAAGCGTCAACTTTTGCCATCTTATGACAAGGTTATTCCAACATTTAGGTTTGGAATGTCTTCAAAACAATTGTATATTTTATTGTTTCATACTTACAATAGTACATATTTCTCTGTATCGTCTCTATAATATTTAAATATAATTTCTCTACAAGTCTCTAAGGAACATTTGCCATCTTATGATAAGGATAATTCTGCATTTAGGTTTGAAATGTGTTCAAAAGAACTGTATATTTAAATGATTACACAGTAACGTAATTCTGCTCTTCTGCGGATTTAATTTACAGTTTGGTCCTATGTTATTGTTGAGATACTTTTAATGGACCCAAATAACTATCACCGTGTTTAAACTATTTACTGGCTTATTGGATCCGTGTGTACACGCCTAACGTTGCCTTTGTATGACCAATGACATTACACTTATTTTGTTACATGTCGACTCCCATACAAAACTAAATTTATGTATATTTTTTTATGATACCAAATGACGGAATTAACACCCTGAGACGTAAGTTGTCAAGTGCAATATGCCCGTAATTTCACCAGCACCTTCAAAATTGGAACGCTGTAATGCTCACATTATTGTTTGGCGGCAGAAATAGAGAAGGTGGGAGTACTTCCCTGGATGAACTCTTTCACAAGGAGCTCTACTAAGTATGTGGAGCTTTTCAGTTTATGCCTCAGCGTGACTCTACTTACTCGACTATTCTAATCTTTGTGATTAAAAGCTCGTCGCTTACCACAAGGCGCACGACGTGTTCATCCAGTCACTTGGTATTAAAAAAATTGGTGGTATAATAATCTCAGTACAGAGTACTAAAAAAACAGACCTCAAAACTACGTGGAATAGTACGTCTATTTGCTAAGTTTTATTGAAATATCCCCTAGTTCGCCACTATACAGGACTTGACACTGGAGATAATAAAAATAGGTTCTCACTACGACACTACACAAAGTATATTGAGAGAAAAACGCCTTGAATTGGAGAAATAGCAAAATCAACCATTAAAGTAATTGCTCCTAAATTAAAGTTAGGCGCTATTTATAAAAATGAATCTTCATGCGTGAACAGCCACCCTTTAAATAAATTAAATGGGACCACTATGGAAGTGCTCCCTTTCCAACAAAAAAAAATCATGAAAATCGGTTCACAAATACCGGAGTTATCGTGTAACATATATACAAAAAAAACATACAGTCGAATTGAGAACCTCCTCAGATTTTTTGAAGTCGGTTAAAAATCCCATAAAATGTTTTATAGTCGCAATTGATTCATTTGAGGTCCTCAACTGCCAATGAATCAAACACGTTATGTTATGAAAATGGAAGTAAATAGATAAAAATTGGTTTATATTATATAATATAAAGCAATTATCAGATTAATATATGTGGTACTGGTTTAATCAAGTTTTAATTCGTACCTTCGGTGTAAATGTAACTAGATCTACCTTTACACCTATAGCACTTTAAAAGGTCTTTAAAATCTACCTTTACACCTATAGCCATTGACTTACAATTATATGGACGTCGGGTCCGCGCTAAAAAGTGTCCGAACTTATAGCGCGTTAAAATCGTATACAGAGCGTCATTCACGCTTTAGTCTTCGTTTGTACCACTGACAGCGAAGCGACTGACAGTGAAAATTAGACAGTACTGCGATGACATTACAATTTAAATTCAACGTTTTAGCTTTTTCATATTCCTTTACATGTCACTACGTTTAAATAGGTTGACTTGGGACATTTTTTTCGTGGTTTTTGTATTAGACCCGTCTTCCATTTATTTGTAAGTCAATGCCTATAGCACTTTAAAAGGTGTTTAAAGTAATTTTAGGTCAAGATTTCGTTGTTTCGTAACATATACTTAGTGTAAATTGTGAAGTTTAGCAAAAAAAATTACTTCGACACACGCAAATTTTACATTGTAGGCAATA